GTCCGCTAGCTTTCCGCGAGACCAAGACAAGTTTGAAGGCAAAATCAGAGCTGTTGTCCAGTCCCTTATTGATAACGGAATTGATGTCAAAATTTATCTCGATTAGAAACGATATGTTTGGTTTAAGGTTTGATTTCGTTTTTTTGTGTTTGGGCAAAACCTAATGATTAATTCAGATGCAAGATAAACCATCAGTTTTGGGGGAAGGAAAAAAAACATACGACAAAGTCTACAATGAAACTGAAATCTCAAGCTAATCACTGCTCATATTATCCTTTTATCCACAATTTATTTTCAAATCTTTTTTTGACCATGTTTTCGTAGGCTCTAGACAAGGGGTTTCACCGAAATGCCACTTGTGTGTTAATGGTTGTGTTCAAATGACAAACTTTTTATCATGTAAAATGTTCTCAAGTGTATGATTAATATCCGCCAATGTGAGATATAATCTTATTCGTTTTCCAAAGCAACAGAGACTATTTGAATAGTAGCGGAGAAGGAACATTCGCAGAAATGAGTGAGATAAAAGTGAAAGTTAATACTAACCAACTTTTCTATTAAAACGTTTTAATAATCAAAGAAAAGTTTCCCTAAACCCTAAACCCTAAACCCTAAACCCTAAACCCTAAACCCTAAACCCTAAACCCTAAACCCTAAACCCTAAACCCTAAACCCTAAACCCTAAACCCTAAACCCTAAGCCCTAAGCCATGCGCCCTAAGTCCTGCGCCCTAAGCCTTGCGCCCTAAGCCCTGCGTCCTAAGCCCTGCGCTCTAACCCTGCGCCCTAACCCTGCGCCCTAACCCTATGCCCCTGCAATCTAACTGAAGCCTTAAATTTTGCCCCTGCAATCTAACTGAAAGCGTTAAATTTTTTAATGTTAATTTCCATGTTTTCACAGTGAACTCAATGGTTTCGTTTTCTTGTGAATGAGTACTCTTCAGTATGTTAGGGATGTCAGTAATGGAACTTGTTCTGAACACGAGACGAAAAGCATACGTTTGTGACAAAATCTAGTTTCTGTGCGTCTCCCTGACATTCCACTAAATGCAATTTGTTTATTTAGTCTACTTCACAGTCACTCAGTTTCGGCTTTGATTTGAATATTGGTAGTATATTGGAGTGGCCATCGGTTATCAGGTCGTCGTGGAGTGGCCATCTCTCTCCTTCCTTCTTCTCTACTTTCTTAGGTATTTCCCGTCTCTGTTTCTTTCTCCTCTCAGCTTTGCATTTCCAAAGCCTGTAAATTTGATAACTTTCTGGAAATTAGAAATTACATACTCTCGTTACTTATTCTTGTAATGGATTCTATGTCTTTATATTGTTATTGAGAGGAGTCAAGTTTTCATAGCTCTCAATTACTCAATGGTTTCGTTTTCTTGTGAATGAGTACTCTTCAGTATGTTAGGGGTGTCAGTAATGGAACTTGTTCTGAACACGAGACTAAAAGCATACGTTTGTGACAAAATCTAGTTTCTGTGCGTCTCCCTGACATTCCACTAAATGTAATTTCTGTAGGTTGGTGCAGATATAATGTTGAAGCAAGTGGTTGGCAAGTACTCGATAGGTAAAGCAATCTATGGAAGTAACAGAGCAAAGCTTAGACCTTTCTTGTGCCAAACCAATTGTGGATTTCACAATGGGCGGGTACGCCATCATCCTTCCACTTTGATTACTTGAGCGTGTAATTTTATCTGTTACGAGAATTAGTGGATCAAGTGTGTTCGTTCGAGTCGGATGTGTACAGCCTTGTCCCTGTTTGTTTGAAATCTTGTAACTAGATCTGCTTGGAAAATGGTTTTCAAATTTGTTTCTGTTGTCGTCTAACTCGGCTTATCAAACCACTCTCTTTAGCTTTCTTAGTGCTGTTTGCTAACTGAAGTTTTGATGGATTGTATGAGCAGAACTCATAATAGTTGCAAGCTGAGTTTTTTTTAATGTAGCTCATAAATGCAAGTGACTCATTTGTTCTACCTGTCTTTACTTTGTTGGTCATTGATACAGACATTTGTTTGGCCGTTTAGGTTAGTCAATATGCAATGGCTACATGAATTTTAATGCAATTTGTTTATTTAGTCTACTTCACAGTCACTCAGTTTCGGCTTTGATTTGAATATTGGTAGTATATTGGGTCTTTGTTAAAGCTATTTACTGTTTATGGTTTTTTTGCTATCTGTTTCTACTTTCTAATTTGGCTTGGCTTTTTGCAATTATTGACAGACTGCTCTTGCTCCGAGAAGCTTCTTTGGTGTGGAAGACTACGTGGATGATGACACGAGCCGACCATACACATACCAAAAAGAGAAAAAATCGAAGAATCCAGACAAGCATGTCTCCTTTAAGCAACGGACAGTCGCATACATGGAGCCGTTCACACTCGATGTCTTCATCTCAAAACTTTTTGTTTCGGCATCTCTGACTCACCGTGTCACATGTAAGCAAGTTGCGGTTGCGGGAACAAACTCTAAAGACGTAAAAGCGGTTTTGAGGTCAAGATGCGATATCCCAGCATGTATGTCCATAGGGAGGATCTTGTCTGAACGTGCGAAAGAGGCTGATGTGTACACAGCTTCTTATACGCCGCGAGACCAAGACAAGTTTGAAGGCAAAATCAGAGCTGTTGTCCAGTCCCTTATTGATAACGGAATTGATGTCAAAATTTATCTCGATTAGAAACGATATGTTTGGTTTAAGGTTTGATTTCGTTTTTTTGTGTTTGGGCAAAACCTAATGATTAATTCAGATGCAAGATAAACCATCAGTTTTGGGGGAAGGAAAAAAAACATACGACAAAGTCTACAATGAAACTGAAATCTCAAGCTAATCACTGCTCATATTATCCTTTTATCCACAATTTATTTTCAAATCTTTTTTTGACCATGTTTTCGTAGGCTCTAGACAAGGGGTTTCACCGAAATGCCACTTGTGTGTTAATGGTTGTGTTCAAATGACAAACTTTTTATCATGTAAAATGTTCTCAAGTGTATGATTAATATCCGCCAATGTGAGATATAATCTTATTCGTTTTCCAAAGCAACAGAGACTATTTGAATAGTAGCGGAGAAGGAACATTCGCAGAAATGAGTGAGATAAAAGTGAAAGTTAATACTAACCAACTTTTCTATTAAAACGTTTTAATAATCAAAGAAAAGTTTCCTTAAACTTAAATCCGCGTTGTTAATCAAACAGATTAGTAACTGACCAATCCCCGTTGTTGTTAATTAAACTTTTTACTTTTTTTTTTTTAAGAAACCCTTCTCTTTCCTAGCAAGATCATCATATGAAAAACTAACTTTTTTTTGTTTTTTAAGGTATAACCTGCGTCGATTATATAAAATATAACCTGCATTGTGAAATTTGGGAATTTGGGTTAATCTGAATTGTGAAGAAACTATCGTGTAAAGAGAGAAAGAGAAAGAGAGAATGGAAA